TCGAAACATGTTTCGAGGTGTTGAAAATAACGATTTGGTGCTGGGAAAAAACTCCAGTAATATTCATTACTACACCAAAGGTTCCAAACAGTGCATCATAAGTGACATCATGTATATAAACCTGTTTTTATCGACAATCATATTTATTTTCGCAAACAAAAATTTGTATGTGGTATTATTTTTTTTTGGAAAATTAGAATTATTGGTCCATATATTGGTCCATATACGATTGATATTTTATGAATGCTTTCGTTTTTTATATGGATTGGAAGTTTTGTCATTCAGAGACTTAATTAGCAAAATGAATGATGTTCTGGAATCAAAACATGGTTGAAAAGTTGACGTATCAGCTCCAATTGCTTCTCGATATGAACATGAGAAAAAAATTTAAAGGAACAGAAAAAGAAGGTAAACAATCAGATGTTATTCAAGTTTTTCTATACTAATACGAGGTGGATTGTCGAATAACCATAACCAAGCCTGACATAAAATAAAATATATACAGGTTGGAGTGATATATTGCGTTTTTTTGAGAAATTCATATAAAGAAAAGGTATGCAATGAGTTCACATTACACACGACTGTTATGAAATGAAGATATATTTTTTATTTTTTGGTGTTTGAGTTTCATAAACTTTCCCACGCTCAAACTGTATGATATAGTTGTTGTTAAAATAACCTATTCACATAAACATATTTTTCTGCTAAACGTTTANCTAACCTAATGATTGTTCAGAAATATTTGGAAATTCTCTGATTCTTTATCAACTTCGATAATTGAACTGTTTCATATAATGAAATTCTGATATATTCCAAAATTTTCATTGATCATAATTTCAATATAAGAGTAATTTTTACATGAAGATATTACGATATTGTGTAAGTATATTTTTAAAGGGGGTATATTTTCCGAAAGGAAAATGAAAGAAATGTCTCAGTTTTCTAACTCTCCATCTTCAAACAAAAAATGTAGGAAACTTTCTAATACAGCAAGAAAGCAATTCATCTCAAAATAAACTCCTTACAAAATTTGTAGATCATGAAGAGAGTGTTTCAGATACAAACTGGAAGAAAAAAGGAATGAATGTCATAGCGTACTGTCATTGATGACATGAGTAGATTCAACTCATTCGTGAAATGATGTCTTAATGAAATTATTTGAGTTCTTCATCTTGTAAAGTTTTCCAGAATGATGCTAAAGAGGTAATAAGTCAAGTGTTTTATTCCGAAACTTTGATGTCCGCCATTGAGGATAACAGTGTTACATGTAAGTGAAATTTATCTTTTTCATACTGTAGTACGTATCAATTCTGTGAATGACTTCTGATTCAAATTCATAATTCCATTTTTCGAGTAAAAACTGAAAAAGTGTTTTGTTTGATTTAATGTTCACATAAAAATATTTGTTTCGAAAGTACTTTTTGTTTGGTGTAATGGAAGTAGTTGTTTCAAAAGTGCTTCTTCATTTTTCCAATTTGTGTCTGGAAGGTACTTCTTTTCATGATCTACACATTTTTATATAGAGTTTATTTTGAAAATAATTGCTTCCTTCCTCTTTGTGGAAGTTATTCATATTTTTTTTGTATATTGACGAAGAACTAGACAGCCGAAACCTTTCTTTTCCAAAAAACTATTTTCACCTTCAGTGTTCATTGGTGATGATGTTCATCCAGTAGACGCATCATTTTCGAAATCGTTTTGTTTTTATATATTGATGGATGCAGCCTGTTACTAAGTGGTAGGAGATCATTATGAAAATTGTGAAATGACACTTTTTATGTTTTTATACCACTTGTATTCATAACTAACGTTACTGCAGATTCGTCCAATACGGACATTTTCACAGTGAAGGTTATTGCAAACACTTCAAAGAGTTTCACAGTCTTTGGAGTACGTGAGTTCTAGTTCTTTTTTCACAAAATCAGAACAAACTTTTTCTCTGAAGTAAATTCTGAAGTCACGCATCTATACTAGTGTGAAATTTGAGAACCACAGGTTTATTCTGAATCAATACATCTATATCACTTGAACACACGAACATTTTGTTATCCATGAAAATGGGGATCTGCCAATTGAATCTTGTACTTCCACAAAAATGTAAGGCGTCACCTTGGACTACAAACTCACATGGACTCCTCATATTGAGACCCTCTGTATTAAATNTACTATATAATAATGAAAGCTGAAACAAATCTGCTAGAGAAAATTCAACCCAATTTTTTTCTCTTGAACCCACCAACTTATTTTTTCCAAATAGAAAACCAATATTTTTTTGATCTTTCAATTTTAATCGGATCAACCGTCACCGAATAATAAGCAGTATCATAATTTTGGGGAAATATGTATTTCAACCAACCATCCACTTCTTGACAATGATGAAGTTTGCGAATTCAATTTAGAATGTTTGTGGGACAATTTCATTGAAAAGACCCCTGACTCTAACCATGAGCTCAGTTATGTAGCGTTAACTTTCGATTTCATCAATATTCACAAAAATCTAAGGGGGTCAAATCAGGTAATATAGTGGGTAAATTCTAAGGGACGACGTCCACCTATCCACTTGTTTGGATGATTATAATCCAGCCATTTCCAAAGCAGCTCGTCATTTTCTGAAAACTCATTCGGGTTTGACAATTTTAAAAACCGGTGGACAGGAAAACGTGATCTCTCAGAAGAGCCTACTGGATCGCCTAATATGACACCTCTAGATGAAGTTTACGATACATACTCACAATTCATTTTAGAGATTGTGGATAGAAGAAGAGTTGCTTGCATCGATAATACCCTACTAACATTTGATAATGTAAAAAATTATCAATAGACTTCATTATTGTCGTGAAGTAAACGATAAACATAATGAATATTGAATATTACTGTCATTTCAACACCTCGACACGTGTTTCGATCACCAAGTGATCATCTTCAAGAAAATGATCAAACTGTTGAATATTTATTGGAATGACTGGAGTCAGTTTCGAATTACTTCTTCTGAGATTATGATATTCATTTATGTTTTGCGGATTCTCAAAACAAATATAAAACTACTAATTACTCAGAAATCAAATTGGCGCTACTAACTATTCGAAGAAATAGTTGGTAGCGCCTTTTCGGCGACAAGAAACGCATCAATATTATCTATCTCATTGAAAAGTAACGAACATGATACCTTTTTACGTCCGCGATGTGTTTTCAAACATTGAACAATGAAATGGACTTCATATACTTATTAACATTCTTCTATACTAGCATTATGAAGATTCACACGGAATCGAGAACAAATCGATAAAAGATTTTTGGGGTCACTATTTTTTCGGATTCGAAGGCCGTGGATTTTTGGAAATTTTTCTTGACGTTTCGCTAGTGCGAGTGGTTAGCTTCTTCAGAGGTTTATACATTCTGGATTACTATCCGATGACTCAGTATTCGGAAAAATAGTGAGACTAAAAGCCTCAGCCGCGAAAGCCTCAACCATTTTGTCGATAGAAGATGGTTCAAAATCTATGAGACAACTGAAATAGAGATGAAATTTTTTATTTTCGACTATATTGCATTATATTTTTCATAACAGTCATTCTAACCAGTGGTGGTGTAGAAATCTATAAAAATTATTTTTGGAAACAAGGAATCAATGAATTTATTTTTCAGTTATGAAGAATCTGCTCAAACTGGAATGCAATCTTGATACTTCGAATATGATATATTTTGAAAATTGTTTGACATTATTCACATAAATATTTGTTGTCCATTTTCATTTTCGTTTGAATATTAGATCCTTATCAATTTTTTTCAGTTTCTGATTCCCATATTCTCGTAATATTTTCAACATTGTAATGAGAACTTGCGATCGGGCCAACTCAATACTGAACACGTTCAATTGCTTTTATAAAATATTGAATGTGAATACATATTGTGAAATAGTGAGTTTTGGGTAGGTGCAATTATTGTAATTATAGAAGAAACAAAAGGTAATTGATACAAACAAATTCCGTAACACCTATCACGAGATTTGCACTGAACAGTTCAAAAAACCCCAACCAGTGTTTCACCCTTCAAAAGTTTTCTCAGGCGTGTTACATGAACATGCCTATTTTAAAATTTGCTGGTACTGCATGTGGATTTCATTTTATTTACTTTCATTTGAAAATATAACAGAGATCCTCCAAACAATCCAAATGAAAAATATTCAGAAATGAGATTGTTAACACAAACTATTAAGAATATGCCTGGGTTGGTCATATTTCAGTACACAAATACTTGAATAGATAATAACATTCAAGCATTAAATAATAAACGTATGAGTGAATGAATATATTTAGTCCATAAACTGCTATTCAATATTCAATCTACTTCTTCAACACTCCTACATTCAAAACTGAAATATTCAAACAATCAGCTATATATCCTTTCAATGACACGAAAGATGGCGTCTCTAATTCTAAAGTCTAGAAAGTCATACGGTCACGTGAAATAGAAGTATATTCAATTTGTTGAATAAACTAACCGAAATTTCCTTCTTCCATTTCATTCTACTGACAAATCCAAAACGCTATAATTTTTGCAAATGAGGCAATTTTAACGGGAACATTGAATTTTGGGAAAAGAAAGAGATGGCTTTTCATTACGTCAATCATTCATTCTATAAAGCTAAGAACATTATTTATTATTTGGTGGTAAGTGCTACATACCTTACTAATTTTTCTCGGAAGTTTATATGAATTACGTAATATGTTTTCGATAAAGAGTTTTCAGTTTGCCAATCACATTATTCTAGATTTATTAATTTTCCAGATAGTGAAAGTTTAAAAACCGAAAGAAATCAAGAATAAAAAATACATTGATGGATGTAGCCGTTACTACGTGGTAGGGAATCATAATGAAAAAAAGAAATTTGAAACTTTGTATGTTTTTAACCACTTTTATTTGTAACTAACGTTACTGCAGTTTCGTCCTATAAGGACATTNCATGAAAAATATTCATAATATAAAGTTTCAAAAATTACCACTTCAAAAATTCTTTCTTAAAAAATTGAATATTTTGAACCTTTTCTTTCAAACTACAATTAGTCTAGTTATTTTTAGCTTCAACAGAAAATCAGAAAGCTGTCAAAGAAGTCGTCACTCATCCCAGTTCACTGGGTCACTATCTAACGGCACAATCGAAAACAAAAAAAAAACAAGGGGCGATATCCGCACTAACTGCGCGTGCGCGTAGAGATAATCTAGAAGAGAAAAAAACTAGTAGCGGCTTCGCACAATCCGAATAGTTCTTCAGGTCCTAATCGGCGGTGGACTGGTTCGAAGTCTTCACCAGAGGAGGCTGGTCCGCCACGCCGTTCACTTGGTTTTCCACGGGGTGGGAATGTGACCGATTCAATTTGCACCACTGCGATTGTTGCATTGCATTGGTTGCCGGTGATGTTGATTGTGATTTGTGTGGTTTTCAAGGTTTCTGGAACCCAGTTGCCTTGTCGCAAATGACTCGAAAGTAGACGGATTTCTTGTCGAACGTGGTCAAGGGTTGATGTTGGCCTGTTCCAGAAAATTGTTCCAAAAGTTGTTTGCTATTGTGAAGTTGGGTGTCGACATATTGCTAAGGGGGTGAAAGTATGTATTCATGGTTGTTGATTAGTTTTCGTGTTTTTTCAAGCTTAATCTCTCGAAGTTTGTGTTTTTTTACTTTGCAAAATAATAAGAGTACTTCGCTCCTGAAAAAACTGGAATTAGTTACTTTTCTGACATCCTGCATCTATCCTGTTTCTATCAACAATCATTTTTATTTTTGCAGACAGTAATTTGTGTGTGGTATGATTTTTCTTCGAAAAATAAAATTGTTGGTCCATATATTGGTCCATAATACGATTGATATTTTTCGAATGCTTTCGTTTTTTGTATGGATTATAAATTTTGTCATGAAGAAACTTTAATTATCAAATGTGAATGAAGTTCTGGAATCAAAACATGGTTGAAAAGGTGAAGTATCAGGTCGAATTGCATTATATTTTCCATAATACCTCATTAGATCTAGTGGTGGTGCAGAAATCTATAAAAATTATTTTTGGAAACAATGAATTGATGAATTTATTTTTCAGTTATGGGGAATCTGCTAAAACTGGAATGCATGCAATCTTGATACTTGGAATATGATGTATTTTCTTTTTTTTTTTGACATTATTCACATCAATATTTGTTAACCATTTTGATTTTCTGTTGAATATTAGATTCTTATTCAATTTTCTCAGTTTCTAATATCTATATTTTCGTAATATTTTCAACATTATAACCAGACCTTGTGATCCGGACAACTCAATACTGAACACGTTCAGTTGAAATTATGAAATAGTAAATGTGAATACATATTTTGAAGAGGAAGGGTTAGTGTTAGTGCAATTACTGTGATTATAGAAAAAACAAGAGAAAATTGATACAAACAAATTCGCGTAACACTCTATCACGATTTCGTCTAAACAGTTCAAATGAGAGTATTTCGCTCCTGTAAAAATTGGAATTAGATATTTTACTGACATCATGTATACAATTACTGGAGTTTTTTCCCAACACCAAATAATTATTTTTAACACCTCGACACGTGTTTCGATCACCAAGTGATCAC